GGACTGAGGAGATTTACCCGGTCTAGGTCATACTTTGTGTTCTTGTTGTGTGTTTTATATTACGGGTCGAGTGTGTCCAGGTCAAACCCGGTTAACCCACCCCGCTATATTTACACCATCATTTTTGGCGCCACCCGTGGGACCGATTTTTAAAGTTTTTTCGACCAGGTCAAAACTTTACCCCCACTAAATATCCACAATAATGTCTTCGGGCAACAACAATACTGTGTCAAGCCAGGCTGCGAGTGAAAGCACTCCTGCCATCCCGCTGATGATAACGAGTATGGGGACGACCTTTGCCCTGATCACCACTGTAGGATCGATTGGCATGATCCCGATCATGTCGACCCCTACTCCTACACCAACGACAACAATGTTCCCAGGCTCGATAACAACGCCCGGGGGAGCATTCTCACCATACCCGTCAGCTTGGGCTCAATTTGCTACTGACCCGGCAAATGCTCAGGCTCTACAGGGCTATCAACAGGTGATGGCCATGATGCAACAGGCAGGGGGCTTCATGCCATTTGCCTATCCTGGCATGATGCCACTAATCATGCCACCCGCGGTGTCGACTCCATCAACATTCGTTCCTAGAATGGTTCCTATACATCCGGTGAATTTGACGGGGACCATGAATGAGGCAGCTCCCTCAAATGTCCATGAAGTTGACGAGGTGGAACAGGAGGCAGCCCGCAGAGGGAAGGGTAAGGCTATAGCCAAACCCAGCAAGACCCGAGATTCAGCGTTCAAATGCCTAGGGGACAAAGAGGATGGACCCCGCAAGTCTGCCAAGCTACGTCTTGGTCCTGAGATGGGCCGGACTAGCGCAATGGAAAGACTTGGCGGGAGTCGTCCTGCCTAATCTCGTCGTTTTAGGGAATCTAAGACGATTCACCTAGATGAGGATGAAGCTGAAAGCCAGCCCAAAGCATCGGCATATACCAGGCTCTCATACGATGAGGATGACCTGGAGCATAGCGAGAAAGCTACGTGCCCTGGAGGAAAAGGTAGAAGAGAAGGCGGGAGCGAAGAAGCACGCCCTGTCCAAATCACCCTTTTCAGCCAGGGTACATGCACAAAACTTGAGGCGGAAGGTCAAGCTGGACGTGGAGAAATTCACTGGAAAGGAGGATCCAAATGTCCACCTTGACACCTTCCATAATGCAGCGCAAATGACCGGGTGTACTGATGCTGAAGAATGCCTACTCTTCTTCTCATCCTTGAGAGGGAGGCCAGTGGAATGGTTTAACAGCCTTCGACATGGTAAGATCGGGTCCTTTGAAAAACTTGCTGAGATTTTTCGCAAGAAGTACGAGGACAGCTGCATCAAAAGGAAGAAGTTCACCTACCTTAACACGGTAGGGCAGAGGGAGAAGGAGTCCTTGACTCAGTTCTTAACTCGCTGGAGGGACGAGGTCGACAAAGTAGAAGAGATGGACGACAAGACGGCCATGTCTTTGCTGATGAATGCATTTCGGTCGGGTGACCTCTACACTGAATTTTGTAGAAGGCCACCCTCCTCTTATCAAGAAGCTTACAATACGGCATGGGAGTACGCGGAGGCGGAGATCCTAAACAAGAGAAAACGAGAACTGGAAGAAGGTTATATGAAGGTCAAGACCGAGAAGCCAAAGGACGACCATATGGGAGGGTCCACGCCAAGGACCACATATGGTGGGACGGTCCACCAAATTAGGAATGAGAAGAAGGGAGAATAACCCAAGCGGCCTTGGACAGAGAAGTGGTGTACCTATCACCAATCTGACTCCCACAACACGGCAGACTACCGAAATGTCAAGGCTGTGCTCAAGGAGATGACCTTGAAAGGGGATTTGGATGAAGTATTCGTTACGGGGCTTGAGGAAGACCCATAGGCGAGTACTTGAATCCACCCACATGAATATGATCATGGAAAGAAGAGAGGGTGGATAAGATGTGGTCAAGATTACTAAGCTTGCTGTAGCCGGATCAGTCTTGATGTCTAGGACCTCGACCGTTGCATGGGCTGATAAAAAGAAAAGAAAAAAAAACCCTTGAGATAGGGGCCTTGATGTTGAGGTATCGCCTTGAGACAAGCTGGATCCGTAAGAGGATTCGCATCCATACTTACATGGATCCCTATCAACTTTTTGGTCGGGAAGGGTTAAAAAAGATGCCAAAAAATATATTTTACCGTCTTGTATGAGCCATCCTTTGTGGATCGGAATGTTTAGGGAAGACTAGAATTTCCGAACACATAATATATGGACATGCAAGATTGGATGAGGGCTGGTTCTCACCGGCATACCCCCATGTGGGAAGATTAGGTTGGCTAGGTCAACCTAATAATTAGAAAATGGCACATTAAAAGACTTAAAACCTGGAAGAGGGGCCCTGGAAGAAGGGTGTTGCCTGGAAGAAGGCTGGACCTTGGAGAGGGTTCGCGATCATAGGACATGGTCAAAATCTCCAAAGATGGGTCAGGTCTTGATGTTGAGACTTGAAGTAAAAACTATTTTGAAATATTCATTCAAAATTTGATCAAGGTCGGTGTTGAAAATGACATGCAGGCCAGATGGATATAAGAAAAAGGGCATGGTCGAAAAGTGACCGGTCACTTTTTTAACGTTCTAAGATTGACAGAAAAAGACGGACGGAAAATTTTAAAATTGACCGGTCAACTTTGAAAAAAGTGACCGGTCACTTTTTAATTTTCGGATTTGATGAAATCAGACAAGTTTGGAAAAACTTATTTTTGACCGGTCACATTTTAACCCGGCACCTGGACAGAAATTTGAGGCAAGACTGGTGACGTTACATGACCAAACCATTGGGATTGGACCAGGACGAAATTCAACCTTGACGTCTACTACATTTCAACCTGGAAGTAAACCGGATCAGAAGACAAGTCGAGCACAAGGTGACCTGGATATTTTCAAGTCTGGAGACCAGGACATGAGATGACCTGGACGTTCTTAAAATGTTTCTTAAGGGCATGAAATGACCTGGACGTTTTCAAGACTTGCACTTGACCAGGACACAAGATGACCCGGACGTTTTCAAGACTTGCACTTGACAAGGACATAAGATGACCCGGACATTTTCAAGACTTGCACTTGACCAAGACATGAGATGACCCGGACGTTTTCAAGATTTGCACTTGACCAGGACATGAGATGACCCGGACGTTTTCAAGACTTGCACTTGACCACGACATGAGATGACCCGAATGTTTTCAAGACTTGCATTTGACCAGGACATGAAATGACCTGAACGTTTTCAAGACTTGCACTTGACCAGGACATGATATAACCCGGACGTTTTCAGGACTTGCACAAAGTGCCTTGGTCGCTTTAAGGAGTTGATGAGAATAAAAGTTTAGACCAGGACGTTTCCAGGACCTACTAGACCCGGGCGTCCTTCAAAAGTTTCAACGAAGCCTACTAGACCTGGATGTTTTCAAGACCAGGGCATGAGATGTCCGAGACATTCTAAAAAGAATTCCTAAGAGAGGGCCAAGCAAGAAAACAACCATGCAAGTCTAGCCAGGCAATTTCAAAGGAGGACTAGGAGGACTTACATGGTAGAAGTCTAAAAAAAAGTAGGCCGCTTAATTCTTTAGAGTTAACATTTGGATTTCCTAATAATTCAAAAGTGAGAGGTCAAAGAGGAAGACTTCATGATTTCAAAAGTGACAGGTCCAAGAGGAAGACTTGACGATTTCAAAAGTGAGAGGTCAAAGAGGAAGACTTCACGATTTCAAAAGTGACAGGTCCAAGAGGAAGACTTGACGATTTCAAAAGTGAGAGGTTAAAGAGGAAGACTTGACGATTTCAAAAGTGACAGGTGAAAGAGGAAGACTTGATGGTTTCAAAATTGGCAGGTCCAAGAGGAAGGCTTGATAATCTCAAAAGTGACAGGTCTGAGAGGAGGACTTTATGATTACAAAAGTGACAGGTCCAAGAGGAAGGCTTGATAATTTCAAAAGTGACATGTCTGATGATCTCCAAAGTGCCCGGTCTGATGATCTCCAAAGTGCCAGGTCTGACGATCTCCAAAATGCCAGGTCTGATGAACCCCAAAGCGCCAGATCTGATGAACTCCAAAGTGATACGTGTGATGATCCGCAAAGTGCCAGGTCTGAGGAGCCCCAAAGTGCCAGGTTAGAAGAAATAAATGATACCCAAAACCTCATTTTCGGTCAAGGGAAAGGCTTGATTATTTCAAGAAAGGATAGGTCAAAAGAAAGGCTGGATTATTTCAAAGAAGGACAGGTCATGAGAATGACTTGATGATTTCAAAGAAAGACAGGTCATGTGAATGACTTGATGATTTTCAAAGAAGGACAGGTCATGAGAATGACTTGATGATTTCAAAGAAGGCCAGGTCATGGTAATGACTTGATGATTTCAAAGAAGGACAGGTCATGGGAAAGATTTGATGATTTCAAAGAAGGTCAGGTCATGGGAATGGCTTGACGATTTCAAACAAGGACATGTCATGGGAATGGCTTGACGATTTCAAAAAAGGACAGGTCATGGGAATGACTTGATTTCAAAGAAAGACAGGTCATGAGAATGACTTGATGATTTCAAAAGGACAGGTCATGTGAGGGACTTGGTGATTCAAAAGGACAGGTCATGAGAGAGACCTGGTGATTCAAAAGGACGTGTCATGAGAGAAGACTTGTTGAATTCAAAGGTGATGGGTTAACATAAGTATACTTCCCGCCCTTGATGACTTCCTCACAAAGCCGGTAAGTGGAGGACTTCTTGATGGGTATATCCCTATACCCGACCTGGACAACCGAAAGGGACAGGTCAAAATATGACCGGTCACTTTTATCAATCACCAAATGAGGTTAACTCTACGATTGGGACGGGTCAAAAGTTGACCGGTCACTTCCACTAAAAAAGTGACCGGTCACATTTTGGGCGATAGCCAAAATATCACCTAATGTTGTGAAGAATTCAAGAAGACCAAAGAGACGGGTTGAGCTCAAGAAATGACCGGTCAACCTTTGAGAAAAAGGTGACCGATCATATCATCTTACTTGACAAACATTGGTCCAGTATCTCAGGCATGGTGAACCACGTCAAAGATCGAGGGACCACCCCGCCGTTTGTCCATCACAAGACAAACAGTGAAAGGGATGTTTGTCACTTTGCAGGGCTGATTGGAATGAGAATATCCATCTATAGTCTTTGATTGAACAGTACATGTCTTGGCTTATAGTTGCTAAATTCTATGATTGTACAGTGCTTCCATTATCTACAGTGACCTTCCCACGAGCTTCCTATTTTGTCCATGGATGAACAGGGGAGGGTCACAAATCCTCCTATATAAATATGATAATATTTGATAGAGGAGGGGATCCAATTTTTCTCTCACTAAAGTTCACTCTTGAGATAGAGTAAGAAATATAATTCGGACTGAGGAGATTTACCCGGTCTAGGTCATACTTTGTGTTCTTGTTGTGTGTTTTATATTACGGGTCGAGTGTGTCCCGGTCAAACCCGGTTAACCCACCCCGCTATATTTACACCATCAACAATTGTAATCTATTTATGGACGGAGGGAGTAACAATTATGCTACAGGTATAATGCCTTCACGGTCACTTGTGTGATCCTAATAAATTACTCCCTCCGTCACAAAAAGATTTACACGTTTCAAAAAAATTACGTCCCACAATCCCTTACCCATTTCTATTAAAACACCACTTTTACCTTTTACTTTTTCAAACCCTACATATCACATCATAACTTTTTCCTAATAATCTACACATCACATCCTACTTTTACCCATCACATCAAGGGTATTTTCAGAAAGTCAACACAAAATTATCTCTCCCTTAATTTCAACTTTAGTCAAAATGGGTAACACTTTATGGGACGGAGGGAGTACTTTACACCACCAGAAACTATTTAATTTTAATTGCAAAATAAAATTATATGTTTAATCTGTCTTTAAATAATTTACTCATTTCTTATGATGATAAATTATCATTTGATTAAATAAAATAATTTTGCACTAGTTTTCTAGAACTATCTAAACGCTATTAAATACTCGTATATAAAATATAATTTTACTTTTGTAACATTATTCATAAAAATCAAATAGTAAATAATTCGATCAAACATCATAATCCGAAACGAGAATACAATTTGGAGATGGAGAGACTACAAATTAAGAAAAATAAATCTCAATAAATGAGTAAAATTTGCTTCATTGTCGCTGAAAAGAAACAACCATAAACTTGTTTAATTTCTAAAAAAGGTGGAAGGATTAGTGAAACTCCGCAAATTATATTATATATCCGGTTGTATCCAAAATTGGATACATCCAATAAGTCGAAAAAAGAAGAGCTGCGTCAATCGGAGGAAAAAGGAGAGGTGCTCCTAATCGGGTCGCGTCGCGTAGGAGAGAAAGGAGGGGTCGATCGAGGAAGAAAGCTGTTGCATGGAAGGAGAGGTGCTCCGCATCCGTCTGGTCGGGTGGCGTAAGAGAAAAAGAAAATATTTATGGTATGCATGTATTTTATTTTACATGAGAATAAACACTAAGTTATTTGAGAATATGTACTATTTTGTTTCAGAATGAACATTACATTATTTGTAGATTAATATTGATGGAGAGTTCCACCCAAAACCGGTCAAAAGAAATGACCAAATAATTAACCGGTCAAGTGGATTATACTTGAAAGGGAGACCTTAATCATCATTAAAAGGATGCTTGGTTGACCAAAAAGTTGACCGGTACACTTCAGATAGTTTACCGGTCAAACTACTTTTGATGGGTGTATTCCACTTAGGACCGGTCAACGAAGATGCTCGTATACTCAACTGGTCAAAGTTGATGACCGGTATACTTTGGATAGAATACCGGTCAAACTATTCTATTACCTCGTTTATCACCCGTTTTGGAAAGCTCATCCTTTAAAAGTCACCTGGTATGATTTCTAAGGTTGTGAAGCGTCGGCAGAGAAGAGTCCAAAAGGGTTTGGATCGTAGCGATCAAGATCAGTGGAAGATCGCTAGAGATATATGCTTGAACAATCTATCCAAAGTGCTACATGAAAAAGGAGAAATCTTCCTCACAAGGTGACAAAGCAGCTAGAGGATGAAGGCCATCACCTCCCACCACCCAGGAGCGTGCCTCAACGTGGGCAAGCAGCGGTTTGTCCCCTGCAGCTTAGTATAAATATCTGTGTAACCCCCCCAGAATTGGGGATCCGAATTCCTTCTCTTTAAACTCCCTTGTAAAAGCTCCCGTGTTTCTCCTATATTTATAATATCAATTGGGCCACATGTGTTACCACCTACAGTCTTCCCGGTCATTTGTGTGTTTTTACCTTTTCACTTTCCGAATCAAGTAAACAATACTAGACCCGGTCTAGTATAGTTTACCTGGTTAGGTAATTTACACCATCATTTTTGGCGCCGACTCTAGGATTGTTAAGGTTTCTTCTCATCAAAACACAAACCTACCAACAAAAACACCACTCAAAATGTCTTCAGGCCAGCAAATCAACGCTACCTCTGCTCAGATGTAAGCTACCAGTAAGGGAGTCAACATCCCCATGGTTGTTACCCAACCAGCAAACTCTGCCTCTGTGATGTCGCTGGGATTAACTCAAATCCCCACACCAAGCATGGTGACGCCATTCATGGTTCGAATCCCTTCTGCTGGTCCAAGGGTCACATTCCTACCAAGCATGACCCAGTTCATGAATGACTTGGCCAACCTACAAGCCATCCAAGGCTTTGGCCAGCTCATGGCCATGTGCCAGCAGAACGGGGGAATGCCATTCCTCCATGGCATTTTTCCATTTGCCCTTCCTGGCGTTGGAACAATGGCCCTGCAAACTCCGATGATGTTGTCGCCCGGTTGGGAAAGGGGAGGGAGGCTGAACTTGCCCGTACCCAGCGCTTCTGGTCGAACCAGCAAGAGCCTGCCAAGACAAGGGCTTCTCGCCAAGAAGAAGAAGCAGAGAGTCAACCCCGCGGACCAGTGGTTAATCGGCTAACCATGTCGAGTGATCGCGTCCATCAGATGGAAGCCAAATTGGAGAGGCTGGAGAAGAAAGTGGGGGAGAAGAACGACCGGGATAAACCCCTCGCCGGGTCCCCGTTCACTTCAAGGGTCCATCTGACACCCTTCCCGCAAAAGGTCAAGATAGACACCCTAAGGTTTACTGGGAAGGAAGATCCAGAAATTCACTTGGACTCCTTCAATCAAAGTGCAACCATGAATGGGTGCACAAACGAAGAAAAGTGCCTTTTTTTTCTTTCAAACCTTGTGGAACCAAGCTACTGAATGGTTCAATAAGCTTTGCCCAGGGAGCATTAATTCGTTCAGCGACCTGGCCTCGAAATTCAAGGCCAAGTTCCAGGAGAATTGTACCAAGAGGAAGAAGTTAACCTATCTCAGTACAGCCGGCCAAAGGGAATCAGAGAATCTAACTCAATTCCTTACCCGATGGACAGAGGAGGTGAACAAGGTGGAGGAAATGTATGACAAGACAATCTTGTCCCTCTTGTTGAATGGCTTGCATGCAGGGGAACTATACAAAGAGTTCTTTCGTACGCTACCGGCCACATACCAAGAAGCCTACCACACGGCTTGGGAGTTTCCGGAAGCTGAAACCCAGCTACGAGCAAAAAAAGAGACTGAACACAGATTCAAGCCCAAACTGGTGCAGATCAAGAAGGAAGAAGCAACGGGGCCCATCTCGCAAAGGCATCATTACGACCCGATCATCCGTGTAGTCAATACAGAAGAATGCCAATAAGTGAGAAAAGTATCGGTCAATCCTCCGGTAAACCCTACCGGTCAACAAGGACGACAGTGGTCGGACACGTATTGCTCGTACCATAGGTCAGATTCTCATAACACTTCAGAATGCCAAAGTGTCAAAGGAATCGTCCGGTAGATGATAGCCAGTGGAGAATTAGGCAAGGATTATTTGCAAAAAGCCCAGGAAAAGAATCACCAATGGATCAGGCCCGCAGCACAAGGCAACGACTGGGATGATAACTGGAGACTGAGCAACTGTCAGAGAAAGCAGAAGCCTGCCCCCGACAAAGAGCACATTGGAATGATTTTTGGCGGCCCTGAAGGCTGGGATTCCGCTGCGCAGAGGAAAAACTAGGTTAGAAGCATATACGTGGGGGAAGTAAGTGTTGACCTGGTAAGGCGAAAACAAACTAGAAGGGAACCGATCGTCTTCACTGACTGGGACCTTCCAGCCACCGGTGATGACCATAATGATCCTTTGGTCATCACTATAGACATTAATGGGGTGGATGTTGCCTGGGTGCTAGTTGACACTGGCTGTAGTGTCAACATTCTATACTTGGAGACTTTCCAGAAACTCAGGTTGTGTCGGACACAACTTGAACCCTTAAAAACTCCTCTCTCAGGCTTCATGGGAGATATAGTGGAAGTTGAAGGGTCCATAGTCGTACCGGTCGAACTGGGATCGGGGGGGACAAAACCATATGGAAAAGGATGCGGTTCATCGTTGTGGACATCAAATGTGTCCAAAACGTAATTCTAGGAAGACCAATTTCCATGCCCCACCTATACATGAAATTCCACACACCGGGCGGTGTGGGAAAAGTTCAGGGCGATCAAAGGAATGCCTGCTAGTGCTATGCCCGGGTGGTGAAGAAGATGACGAAAGGAGTAAACGTCATCTCCCAGGAAATCACCAAGGGACCTAGGAAAAGCTGGAACCTGAGGTTGAAATGGTGGAGGTTGAATTGCACCCGGGTGATTCCTCAAGGATAGTCAGTATTGGAGCAAACCTACCAGAGGAACTCAAGGCAGAAATAATCCAGGTACTCTAAGAGTATGCAGGATATTCGCATGGAGCATGTCGGATATGCCTGAGATTGACCGCTCCATCATCTGCCACAAGCTAGCAGTCAGAGAGGGAAGTCGACCGGTATGCTAGAAGAAAAGGTACCTCGCTAGTGACTGTCGAGATTTTGTCTGGAAGGAGGTGAAGGATCCTCAGCGTGGGTAATATTCGGGAAGTAAAATACTCGGATTGGTTGGCCAATATGGTCCTGGCCCCCAAGGGCGATACATGGAGGATGTGTGTGGATTACACAGACTTGAACAAAGCCTGTCCAATGGATTAATACCCCCTGCCCAGTCCAGATCAAATGGTGGATGAAACCGCGGGGTGCGAATTCTTAAGTTTCATGGATTCCTTCTAAGGCTACCACCAAATCTACATGGCCAAGGAAGATGAGGAGAAGAGTCATTCCTTACACCTGAACGTACTTATTGTTACCGGGTAATGCCATTTGGCTTGAAGAACTCAGGAGCCACTTACCAGCGCATGGTAAACAAACTCTTCAAGCCACTGCTAGGGAAAACAATGGAGGCATACGTTGACGACAAGCTGATCAAAAGCCAGGTATCTCTTAATCCCCCGGTTGATATGTAAAAATCCTTTGAGATCATGGCAAAGTACAACCTACGGTTGAACCCCAAGAAATGCGTCTTTGCGGTTTGTACCGGGAAGTTCTTGGAATTCATGGTAACCATGAGAGGAATAGAGCCCAACCCAGAGAAAATTCGGGCTATTACTGAGATGCAGGCCCTACCTCGGTTAGGGACGTGCAAAGATTGACCCAGCGTCTAGCAGCCCTCAGCAGATTTCTATCCCGGTCAGCGGAGAGGTCCCTGCCTTTCTTTAAAGTCCTGAAGAAGGCCAACACGTTCACCTGGGATGAAGACTGCCAGAAGGCATTTGAGGAGCTGAAGGAGTACTTAGTGTCAAACATTGTATTGTCAAAACAAGAACCAGGTGAAACTCTGTATCTGTACCTAGGAATTTCCCAAAACGTTGTATGCTCCATTTTAATAAGAGATGATGGGACACAAAATCCCATTTATTATGTGAGCAAAGCACTAAACGGAGCAGAAAGTAGGAGTACACTGATGGAAAAAATAGCCTACACGCTTTTCATCTCCGCGAAGAAATTAACATCATATTTTCAAGCTCACCCGGTTGATGTCTTGACCGATCAACCACTGGGTGCAGTATTGTGAAACTCAACATCCTCCAGGAGGATGGTGAAATGGGCAATGATGTTAACTCAATTTAACATTGAGTACCGGCCAAGATCAACAATTAAGGAACAAGACCTTGAGGATTTTCTAGTGGAAATGACCGGTCTAACTCCAGACTTACCGGTCAGTCAACGTACCGAGCAATGGTGGGTGTAACGCCATACAACCCGGTCTAATAGAATTGTTTAATTTAATTAATTAATTACTGTTCCAGACCAGAGTTGGGGAAAATAAAAGTTCTTAGAAAAATTAGTTGATCATATCATTAAATTTGTTAAGACTGTCTGATTCCAGAAACGCAAACTGATCTCAATTCCGACCCGTTTGGGGGGAAAAGCGCGTACCGTTCAGGTCAGATTTTACATAACGGAGTAAAATAAATAATTGTAACTCCACCCAATTCACACGCCACCTCACATTCACACAACTCCATCATTTCTCATTTAATCCCCATTATTTCCCATTCAATATAATCCTCCCTTCCCTTCATTTTCCTTAGCACATTGTAACCCCCAACCCATAACTCCCTCACTCTCTCTTCCTCTCCCTTTCCTTGTTTCGGCCACACAACAGCTCACCAAGGGGGAATTCCGGCAGTAGTCACGGAGGAGGAAGAGAAGGAAGTGCACGTGTGAAGCAGGCCGTTCGTTTGTTTTGTTGGTTTGTGGATAACCATTCGTTCTATCGGACCATCAACCCCTTCGTTTAGAGGTGAGTAGTTGTCCCTCTAATTCTAGAACATTTAGTTATAATCTATGTCGTTATATTGATAGAAATATCGTACGCAACCTACGTAGAATCTATGCATGTTCGTAGGTTAACCATCCAACATATGTGTGTCCATGTTATCAAGTTATGTGCTCGTTAATATAAATGTTTTGAAACCTTGTAAGTTCATCGATTATCTAGCATGGAAATACAAACATTTGTTTCTAAAACTTCCAACGTTTTGATGACAAACAAACAGATATAATGGAAGTCTGCGTGCCTTGATAATCGAGTTACAGAATAGTACAATCGACTATCAGGCCATGCTGGA